TGTAGGTTTCATGAATTCAGATATTTTTATTAGTTTGACGTTCGAAACAGGAATTTGTATCGTTTTGTTATCAGAAACAAAGCATGAGATGAGCTGACAGATTTGAAATGTAAGTTAAGAAAATAATTTTATTGTTACGATTTAATTTATCGTTATTTCTATAGGGAAAACTAAAGATAAAACAAAAATGTCATAATTTGTTTATGGAAAAAATCAAAATATTTAAAGAGAATTTACAAAACATAACAAACGTAATTTAAACCCCAATTGCGTCTTTATTTGTCGATAATGTGAGTATAAATATGTAAAGTAAGCATGTGTACAACATATACAACAATATATAACATCAAGCCAAATTTCACATGCGTCTCCCTGGTGCATCAAGTGGATTACTGTGATCTTTTAATATTTCCTTTATTTTTTCGTTGCTTTTTCTTCTCAAATAAAGCTAAAATAGCGGAACTCATTTTCTTTCGTAGACTTCATTCAGCATTTCAAATTTATAAAACGCTTCTAATTTATTCATTTGCAAGTTTTGTCTAATAGTAAACAGCAGAGGTTAGTTTAACGATGAGTTTAAAAAATAGAAAAGAGTCGGTACATGAAAACGATACAAACTGTACTACCATCAGATTTATAACTGTTGACAGAAAGTCGAAGTCATCGAGTGAGAATCGATTTATTCGACTTGAAGCATTCAAACTCGATTCTAAAAGTCGATTATTTTAAGTTAAAGATCGATTCTTGACCAAAGTCAGAGTCGACTTTCCTATCCCTACGCAAATCTTTCTTGGATTCCACAACACTTTAAATATTTGAGTTTTATTTGAAGAACTGAAGGATCAGAAATCTTCTTAGATATTTAAGCATAAGCTACTAGTAGCACTGTGGTTGTGATATATTAATTCGTGTCATTTTAAAAATGTGAACATTTTACTCAAAAATTGGTTTGACAGGATCAAGCCCTATCATTTTAATATACAGCATTACATGCCTCATTACACCGCAATGTCTTTTAATAAATGTTGGGTCGGCTTTAGAATAACGTCCCACGCTTTGATAAAATGGGTATCGGATAGAGATCCTCCAGATCAAGAATATATAGAATATAGCGCGGGAAAGTTATAGTTTCGAGATATTTACGTTTAAATTTGAAAATTTCTATCTTTAAAGTACATCGATTTAAAATGAATCATATATTTTTCACTTTTATATCCACTCTGACTAAATCGTTTTTACAAAATTTTTAGAATGCTGCAAAATAGCTTTATTTCAATATTATCTTCTTCATTTTATTAATTTGCAAAACAAAATGGTTGTGATATCAAAACATCGATTTGCCATACAATATATTGTAAACGAAGAAAATAAAAAAACTCAGAATTGCCGATACGGAAACAACGCAAAAGAATGCTGCGCAAAACTTTGGTACACCCGTGTTGAGATCATTATTTTTTTGAAGCGCGGCAACCGCCAACAAAAAGGAGTTCTGCGCAAAAAACTTTGGTACACCCCGTGTTGATCACAGGGTTATTTTTGAAGCGCGGCCGAACCCGCAAAAAGGAAGTTCTGCGCAAAAACCTTGATACACCCGTTTTGACCGACCAGGTTTATTTTTGAAGCGCGCGAACCGCCAACTCAAAAAGTTCTGCACGAAAATAATTGCACTTGTTGACCAGCCAGTATTTTTGAAGCGCGGCCGAACACAACGCAAAAATTCTACAGAAAAATGTTATGAAGGGGTATAACATAATCCTTAACATCAATGCTTTTGTTATAGTTTGGTATTCTGGTTTAGGTTCTGTTGGGTATTATCTTATGTTGGATCAACAATCAATTGTATTAAATTAAACTATTTTTGCATATAATTACCAAAACATGTCAAGAGTGTAGTGATTGGTGGATATAAAAGTGGAAAATATAGTGTATAACTCATTCGAAATAGAAAATGCTGCTTTAAATATCGAAGAAGACTTACCCAAATATCTCAAAAACTATAGTTTCCGCAGCTGTATATCTGATGAAGTCTCCTCTACCGACATACCATTTTCCCCGAAAGCGTGGGACGTTATACTAAAGTTTTCCCAATGTTAGGTATATTTTAAATAGGCACCAAAGCTGTGTAATTATTAGATTAATGCTATGGATTCCCACTTTATCGGAGTTCTCAAAAATTACACAGTTAAGTGAGAATTCAGGAATAAAGATTATCCGATAATAATTCGTACCAATGAATAATTTTGGGAAACTTTAGTATAACGTCCCAGGCTTTCGGGATAAAATGGGTATGGCGGATAGAGGAGATCCTCCAGATCAAGAATATATAGATATAGCGGAAACTTATATTTCGAGATATTTGGTTTAAAGTTCAAAATTTCGACTATTTAAAGTACGCATTTTCCCATTTCGAGGTTATACCTTATATTTTCCACTTTTATATCCACTAACACTTCACTAATTCGTTTGTACATGTTTTTTTATAGTGCAAAATAGTTTAATTTAATTATTGTTAAATTCATTAATTCTAACAAAAGGGTTGCAAAATTTCAATAACCAGTGTTACCTTATCGACATCTTTTGTAATTGAACTGAAAGAAATTAAAACAGATAATACCCCAAATGCGAATCCAAAACCTAGAGAATAAACTATAACAAAGCATTAATGTTAAGTATATATTATACCCTCTATGACAATAATCCTTTTCTTTAGAACTTCTTTTGCGTTGGGGCCTTCGCGCTAAAATAACTGTCGTCAACACGGGTGTATCAAAATATTTTCTCAGAACTTCTTTGCGTTGGCGCCTCGCCTTCAAAAATAACCCTGGTCGTCCAACACCGGGTGTATCAAGGTTTTTTGCGCAGAACTTCTTTTGCGTTGGCGGCCTTCGCCGCGCTTAAAAATAACCCTGGTCATCCAAATTCAGGTGTACCAAAGTTTTACGCGCAGAAATTCTTTTGCGTTGTTTCCTGTATCTAGGCTACAATATATTAGTATGGCAACACTGATGTTTTGACATTCACAACCATTTTTTATTTCAAAATTAATAAAATTGAAGAATGATTTAAATATTGAAATAAAGCTATTTTGGCAGCATAAAATAAAAAATTCTGAAAACGTATTAGTCAAGTGTTGTTGTATAAAAGTGAAAATATAAGTTATAATTCATTTAAATCGAAAATACGTAAATAGTTGAAAATTTTCAACTTTAAACGTAAATATCTCGAAAACTATAAGTTTCCCGCGCTATATATATATTCTTGAACTGGAGGATCTCTATCCGCCCATACCCACTTTATCCCCGAAAGCCTGGGACGTTATTCTAAAGCCGACCCATATTTTGAAAATAAAAATAAATCATAGTGATTAAACCCATGTGGAACAAATTTAAAATAACTAAAATGAAGGTAAAATAATTACTGGCGATCTTCGGTCCTGGAGAGGAGCGTGGTTAGTTGTGAAGGTTGAAACTGTTTATCTTCATTTCCGGCAAAACTTTAGTCTTATAGAAAAAGGACAAAGTTTTAGGTAATGAAAAGATATACAACTTTTGTATCAACACATTTTGACGTAATCTTAAATTTATGCGAAAAATTCAAATTACAAACTTTTCCTAAATAAAACAAAAAACTTTAACTTTGGTCCTTGTTTTCATTTTTGAGAAAACTTAAAAAGTATAGAATGTATATATATTTAATACCATCAAAAGAGAGAATTTCGCAAATATAATACAAACTTACTGAAATTTTGACTCAGAATTTTTGATTGAAAGTAAGGTTTATTATTTGATATGATATGTAGATCTTTCATTCATTCATTACCTACAACTTTGCCATAGAACTTTTTCTATAGGACTCGTGGTTTGCCAGAAATCGAGATAAACCGTTTTTACCCTACAATTCAACCACGCTCCTCCCTTCCTATAGCCCTAAAATTATTTTACTTTCGTTTATGTTATTTTATCTCTCTTTCTTTCACAATTTCCAATTTTCAAAGGCTTCTGCACTAGTCTAACAATTGATTTATATATTATTAAACAAATTAATTAAATTTATTTTCAATTATTATTTTCTCTATTTTACCGAATTTAAGAAATTTCTATGTAGTTATTAATCAGGTTTTCAAGTACAATAAAAAATGTAAATTTGATTTAAAAATTTTCTTTGGAACACAAAACCTCTTCTACTTAAGTAAGCGTTCTAATACCGACATTATTTGGGGCATATGAATTTATGTAATTATGTACTTAATGACCCCACTTCGGAGGGTTGGGGTTCAGATGGTATGTGAGGGAGTCTGGAAATACAATATTAGTGGATTTAGCCGTCGCCACACTTCAAAAATTATATGAAGGGTTAAAATTTCGTGAAAACACATATTCCCAAATTCACCCTGGTCGGTCAAAACCGGGGTGTTCATAATCAATCGCGTCAAACTCCTTTCTGCACTGGCGGCCTTTGCGCTTCAAAAATATGGTCGGTCAAAACGGTGTTAATAATTCAATCGCGTCAAAATCCTTTTCGCTGCTGTTTGTGCAGAAAGGAGTTTGACGTATTAATTATGAACACCCCTTTTGTCGACCAGGGTTATTTTCAAGCGCGCCGAAGCCGCCAGTGCGGAAAGGATTCGACGATCTCCATATTCATTCATTACATAAAAACGCGGCAAAGGAAATTTTGACTATTACGTTTCTTCAGTATATTTTTTCATGAAAATGTTTAACACACTGAACTGGTAATTACATAGAGATCTAATTCTGAATTTCCGCTACAACAACAACAATAACTAAGTGACTTGAATATTGATATGTGCAAAGTGTGTAAATAAATATTGAAAATATACAAATTATCGAAAAATTCACTTTCCGCTCACAGATTTGTAATCTACATAACTTTTTTAAGGGGTGACGACGGGTAATTCCTTCGAATTCATAAAAGGACACTTAATTGTGTCACCCTTACAAACCCTACGAAGTGGGGGTCATTAAGTACATATTTACCAATTTATTTAGTCAGCTTTGCTTCCACTCTATAAATCCTTTCATAAATTTTCAGAACTTATAAACGAACAGTAGCGATTCGATGACACTAATTTATAATTGGTCAGTATTTAAAACTAGTTTGTAATTATTTTACATATATAACATGTAAGCATATTTAACAATGGAAATCATTTATAATAGAAGATATTTTACATCATTCCTCCCATTCCACCCATGCCGCCCATACCCCCCATTCCACCAAGACCAGGAGCTGCGTCTTCCTTTGGAATTTCAGTAACAACTGCTTCAGCTGTGGTCAAAAGGGAAGCTACACCAGAAGCGTCCGTAATAGCTGTGCGAACAACCTATAAAAAAAAATTGTTGATGTAATACTTTTTAAAGTTTTTACTTATATTACGTTGCTTACCTTCGTTGGATCAATAATACCCTTCTCGATTAAATTGCCGTATTCAGCCTTAAGTGCATCATATCCAAAATCTCCTTCTTTTGTTTCAACCTTAGCTACAACCATTGCACCGTCAACACCAGCGTTTTTAGCAATTGTCATGCAAGGCATTCGAAGAGCGCGACGCACAATCTCGATACCCATATTCTACGGTATAAGTAGTTTTAATTTTAAAAAGATAACATCATTTCATACGTTACTAACCTGGTCTTCGTTAGATCCCTTGAGACCCTCCAAAATTGGAATACATCTCAATAGAGCAGTACCACCACCAGGAACTATACCTTCTTCTACAGCAGCGCGAGTAGCATTGAGGGCATCATTTACACGATCCTTCTTTTCGTTTACTTCTACTTCACTTGATCCACCGACACGCAACAATGCTACACCAGAAGCTAGACGTGCCAAACGCTCCTGCAATTTTTCTTTTTCATATTCAGATGTAGTATCACTAATTTGATCCTTAATTTGTTCAACACGGCGACTAATATCTTCCTTCTTTCCTTTTCCTTTAAGTAGTAAGGTATCATCCTTGGTTATGACAACTTCACCAACTTTGCCAAGGTCGTTTATCTGCACATCTTCAAGTTTAACCAAATTTGCGTCGTCACCAAAAACGATGCCACCAGAAGCAATTGCCATATCAGTAAGTGTAGATTTGCGGTTATCACCAAAACCTGGTGCTTTGACGGCAGCTACTTGCAAACCAATTTTAAGTCGATTCACAACAAGTGTGCTTAAGGCTTCGCCATCAATATCTTCAGCAACTATAACCAATGGTTTACGTTGAGAATTAGCTAATTCAAGTGCGGGGATAATGCTTTGCACTGATGAAATTTTCTTTTCAGACAACAAAATTAAGGCATCTTGAAATTCTACTTTAGCTCCTTTAGATGAGTTGATGAAATATGGCGAAATATACCCTCTATCAAATTTCATGCCCTCAATTACTTCCAATTCATCCGAAAGTGTTTTGCCGTCTTTAACTGTGATAACACCGTCGCGACCAACTCTTTTCATTGCTTCGCTAATCAGATTTCCAACATCTTGGTCTCCATTTGCAGAAATAGTTGCGACTTGTGCAATCTCTTCTGGTGTATTAACGGGGCGGGACATTGCCTTTAAATGATCTTTAACATTGTCTACGGCCAACATAACACCACGACGAATTTCCACAGGATTAGCTCCTTTGGAGATTTTTTCAAAACCTTCTTTAGCGATTGCCCGTGCTAATACTGTAGCTGTGGTTGTACCATCACCAGCTTCCTCATTTGTATTATTAGCTACATCTTGAACCAGCTTGGCACCAATATTTTGGAATTTATCTTTTAACTCGATAGATTTAGCAACAGTTACACCATCCTTGGTTATTTTTGGTGAACCCCAAGATTGCTCAATAATAACATTACGTCCTTTCGGACCCATAGTAACGGCCACAGCATCAGCAAGGACATCAACTCCTTGCAACATCAACGCACGTACCTCAGGTCCAAATTTAACATCCTTGGCATAGCTACGAACAAACAATTGCCGCTGAATGTTTACGCGAGCAAGTCTGAGTGGTAAGCGAAGCATCTAAAATAAAAAAAAAAACAATAACACAATTAGAGTTCCTCTTGTAATCTATTTTTTCAAGGACAAAATTTTTTATTTAAATAATCAACACAGAAATTAATAATAAATAAAATTAAGGTAAGTGGACTTTTTTTCATGTGTACACTTTATTCTGTTTTTACAGTTTTACAGGCTTGAAAATAAAACAATTTTTAACTTTTTACACGATTTTATTCCATTTAGCATTTTTTGGGCTTACATTTTATTTGTCTGATTTAATTTTAGCGAAATATGTTCATATCACAAATTAAGAGGAATTCCCTTTTTGTGGATACAAGCAAGTTTACTGGGTAGAGCAATTATAAATAGCACAAATTTAGAGGAATGATCAATGTGTTATCTTTTCTTAAACTATGCTTCATAGTAGTCATACAAAAAAGTTTTAAGTTGATTTGTTGCGATTAAAATTTTTTCAAACGACTTTAATTTTATCCGATCGCCTTCAAATTTTAAGATTATCTTTAGAATTGAACTTTGCATAGAAGTTGAGAAATTTCGATCGATTATTTATATGACCAGTTTATTACGAAATTACTGACTAAAATATCATATTTTATTATTATAAAATATATTTTCTAATTTCCCTACGTACTTCTATGGTTATTCTCATGTAGATCTACGGCGCATTTTTATTTTGTTCCAGGATGATAATTGTGAATGTTAAATGTCTCGCCACGACGCGTTAAAAAAAAAAAACGATTAAAGAGACATCGCTCGATTTGTTTATTATCTATACTAATATTATAAATGCGAAAGTCCGTTTGTTTGTTAAGCTTTCACGCAAAAACTACTTAACAGATCATCATGAAATTTTGTACATATACTCTTAGAGGTGTCAGAATGAACATAGGATACTTTTTATTACAAAATTTATAAATTTTTTACGGATTATTAAAAAAACTATTTTGGAAGATTATATATGTTTGGAAAATAAATTTGAAAATTTTGAAATTGAAAAAAAAAAAGTTTGGCAGAAATGATTGTTTGTCGAAAAAATTAAAAATGAAAGAAAACATAAATGTATAAAAAACGTAAATCAGAGAAATAACACAAATATTATTAGTTACTCTTATTAAATATAAAAATGCCTCGAAAGCGGAAATCGGCGCTGTCAAGAAATTCTACGCCGGTGCGTAAGGCTAAATTAAAAACTATAATCCAATGGATCCATATCTACTATAATGATATCAGTTATTTATTTGATGGATTCGATGCGAGCGAAGCCGCGGGTAAAAGCTAGTAGTTAATAAAATTAAATCAAAAAAATTTTTCATCAGAACTTGATAAGTGTTTCCTTAGGTCTGTAAATAAATAATTATATCGTAAAAAAAAAAAAATTAATGAATGTGCACATGCTTTTATACCCGCCCGTAGCCATACCCCTTAAGCAATGTTCTTTTGTTAAAAAGACAAATAAATAATATTCAAATGATTTAGAATAAATATATTTTTGGTGATTGGTTTCAGAGATAAAGAGATGTCCAACTATCCGGTCACTTGAATTGGAAACGTAATGGCCGATTCACATAAAACTTTTGCTTCGCTCTGCGTCAGACATCTTTGAGCGAAAAGCCGTTTGATCCATTTACATACAACTTTCCGCGCTTTGGGTGACAGTGTATACTGAAACAACGAAACGCAGAAAATAAAAGGTATGCCAAAATGAACGCTTTGCTTTCAGTGTTTCTCTCTAATCAGAATGGCAACTGTTGCTTGGCAAAGCGTAAAAAGATGAGAGTTGTCCTACATTTTGCTTGGCTTCACGTCGAAAACTTTTTATGTGAACGTACTCATACAAAAAAGTACACCGAACTTTTCTTTAAAAACAAATGTCTGAAGCAAAGCGAAGTAAACTACCGTTTCCAATTCTAAATTCTCGCGCAACTTCGTTCTGGATACTGTAGCAGGTTAAACTCCTACCTATCCAGAATAGACCCTGACATACTAAACACATGTCCAGCATGCAATGAGTCTCCGCATGACACTAACCACCTCTTTGCATGCCCTACAAACCCCACTCATCTAACACCCCTTTCCCTATGGTCCGACCCCGTCGAAACAGCTCGTTTCCTGGGCCTTCCGTTAGATGACCTCGACGACAACGAATCTAGAATTTATCACCCAAACGGGGATTAGATAATCGTTATAACAACAACCGTTTCCAATTCCCACAACAGCCGGTTCTGCGATACCGGAATTGACCCGGATTTTATCCGGCCAAGGGCTGTTATTTCGACGATCTAACCCTGTTTGGATCGGTAAGTTTTAGATTAAGTTTGTCGTCACTGGAGCAACGCCTAGCAGCAGGGTTGCTCCGTATCCTCCTGACCCGTGCTGGCATCGAGTCCAACCCGGGCCCCGAGGTATTCTACTGCTGCGTATGCGCGCAACCGTTTCCATAACAGTCGGGTCTACGTAACCGGAACGGACCCGGATTTTTTCCGGCCAAGGACTGTCAACTCGACAAAATTCTGCCGCTACAACAACAACAACCCAACTTTGACGTTTGAATGATTGGATCGACTAGAACGGCCAGATTGCAATCCTACCACCGCTGTTCAATATCACTAATAAAAAAATATAAAATAAAGAAAAGGAACGAAAACACGAAATTTAAATGTATTTGATAAATTGTTTTGTGATGTAATGCTTTGTAGTATTAACTTTCGGGTAAATTTTAGAATAGCATCCCCCGAATTCGGGGTTAAAATGGGTATGTACGGATAAAGGAGGTACTTAAGATTAAGAAAATATTTGCATTTAAAGATCAAATATTCAACTACTTAAAGAGCGTATTTCTTCGATTTATAATGAAGTTTACACTTATGTCTTTAACTTTTATACCCACTAACACTTCACTAATTCGTTTCCACCCATTTATTATATATAATATAGTGCAAAAATTAATTCAATATTTAATCTTTGTTCAACTTATTTTATTCACACAATAACAAATTCTAACAAATAATCAGTGTTATCTTACCCTTTTACATAGGAACTAAAAGAAATAAAGAAAACAGATAAAACCTCAATGACAGGCAAATGCATAACTCATTATTAGTTTTTTTCGCGTATAATTACTGTTTACATTGGCTTAAAAACTCTGGTCATCCAACCCTGGGGTATCTTAAAGTTATTTTTGCACTATCTAATACAAAACAAAATTGTAGAAACGAATTAGTGATGTGTTAGTGGATATAAAAACTAAAAATAAAAGAATAAAATTCATTATAAATAAACAAAACGCACTTTAAATAGTTTAAATTTTAAACTTTAAATGCAAATAGCTCAAAAGCCATGAGTGATTATAATTCGATGAACCCAATTTTTGAGTACTTTTTCCATTAAATCAAGTCGTATGTCATAAATAGCACGTTCAATTGACTTCTTAAGCTTGTAGAGGCTAATAGCGGCCATAAAAAGTTGGTTATCATGCATCTATTACGCTCTCCATTGACAGTAACGGTGTAACCAGTCGAAAGAAGTACGGACCAGTGATTCCACCAGGCCAAAAACCAAAGTGAATGTAATGGTTCATTAATAATTTGTCGATTATTTTACACCAGAATCGAGTTTTTTTTATTTACCGCATTTAGAAAGAAAGTTATTTTCTTAAAAAAATCGTTATCGTTTTAAGTTGTTCCAAGACAAAATCAGCAAATTCACGACGTTTACGGTGATCCAATGCCTTTAATCATTGAGTGAGAATATTTATATGGATCCAAGCCCAAATCCTTTCTCAAAATCAGCCAGGTTGGGGTTTGAGACAGTCCCAATTCTTGACGACGTCTTGGAATCGACAAATTGCGGTCATTACAAACACTTGCATGAACGGCAGCAATATTTTCATTACTTCGAGCGGTTCCCTGTCTTATTGGCACTTGAACATTATGTAAAGAAAATGTATGCTCGAAATTTTCAACAATTCGAAGAATGGCTAGTACAGGTGGACGATTATTACGACCATAAAATGGTAAAAAACGCACAAAAAGTTGCAATTGAAGAACGATTATTTTGATAATAAAATTGAATAATTTGTAAACGTTGTTCTTGCGTACATCTTTCCATGATTAAATTGTAAACAAAAAATTACAGATCATGACTTATTAAAAATGGTCCATCAAAATAATAGTAGCGCTATGTGGCATATAGTTTAGTGTTTATAATTTCCTACACTGCCTTATTTGTAAATACAGTGCACTAAATAAAGTACCACTATAACTATATACCTTAGCACTTGTTATTGCAATGTCATTTGACTGCTAAACTGTCAACAAAAAATTTTATATATATATTTATTTGGATAAGCAACTTTCAGAAAAGTATTGAGTTTTTTATGTATTTTTTCTTTATCATTTTGTAAAAATCTTATTTGTTTTGTCAGGGGACGCCTATCAGAGTGATCTTATAAAACAAAATAAAAACTTATAATGATACTAATTTAGTTGATTGTTCACGACGATTATTCGAAATGACTTAAAATACAAACCGAATCCTGAAACACGTGGCCGTCTAAAACTTGCCGATCCAAACAAGGTTAGATCGATAAAATCCGGGTCAATTCCAATAACGTAGCTATGGCATCTCGGTTAAACTCCTACATATCAAGAATCGACACCAACATACCAAATATATGTCCAGCATGCAGAGTCTCCGCATGACAATAACCACCTCTTTGCATACCCAACGAACCCCAATCATCTAACACCCTTCCCTTTTCCTTCATTTCCTAGGCCTCCCCTTAAATGATATCGACGACAACCAAACTGAAACTTACCATTAGATAATCGTTACAACACGTGGCCGTCGTCCGGCAATAACTGACACAGAGGCTAAGCGACTACTACGATTCACAAAGCAGCTGTTCCCACGACAGTCGGTTCTATGTAACCAGAATGGACCCGAATTTTTATCCGGCCAAGGACTATCAACTCGGCAGAATTCTGCAGTTACAACAACAACATTCACAAATCAGAATAATTTTGCATCTGCAACGAAAATTAAAACAGAACTGGGATTCAACGGCTGAAGTTTGTAAATGACCACTTCAATTGGCCCCCAACGAAATAGAGAAACATTTTTAGGGCAGATGAATCCAAAATCGTGCTATATGATGCTAGGGGATCTCGTCAATACGTATGACGGGTCGGCTTTAGACTACCGTCCCAGGATTTCGGGGATAAATGGGTATGAGCGGATAGAGGAAGTCCTCCAGATCAAGAATATATGTATATAGGTATAGATATAGCCGCGGTAAATTTATAGTTTTCGAGAATTATGCGTTTAAATTTGAAAATTCAACTATTTAAAGTACATATTTTTTCGATTTAAAATGCCGAAGTCCGCCACGAAAAAAACTCGGTACACCTTGGTGTTGGATCGGCTAGAGTATTTTTTTTAAAGCCCGGCCGAAGTCCGCCTATGCAAAAAGAAGTTCTTCGCGAAAAAACTGGGTACACCTCAGTGTTGGATCAACCAGGGCCGCGCTTCAAAAAAAAATAACCCTGGTTGGTCCAACACCGGGTTTCAATAGTTATTTTGTATAGAACTACTTTCAGCACGCAAAAGAACTATGGACACCCCGTTGTTGGACCGATCAGGGTTATTTTTTGGAAGCGCGTGTGCAGAAAGGAGTTACCACGCATAAGAACATGTGCAAAAAGTGTTAATTTTTAAATTTTCTTGTCCGCTCACGGACTTGTAATCTTCGCGTCAAAATAAGATTTAAAAATTAATATAATTTTCGCAGCCTCCTTCGTTGGGGGACGTAAACTATACATTTACCTTAATTTTAGTGTTTGCATTCAAACAACAAATACCATATATTTTCGCGTAGAATTCCTTTTGCGTTTGCACTTCAATAAAATAACCATTAGTCGATTCAACATTGAGGTGTACCCAGTTTTTTCGGGTAGAACTTATTTTTGCATATAAAAAAGATATAAATAATTAAATGAAGAAATGCTAACAATTTATCCGGGTTCTTTTCGTTATTTATTAGTAATATTATAAAAAGAGTGGAATTAACCAACCGTATCTTTACTTATGCTGTATACATATACACATACATCTAATAAATCTTTCTAGAAAATTTGGACCTAAACAATATATTTTGAGGTTAAGTCGGTGGGATTCATAATTGCTTTTATTTCACTATTGTATGGGTTTACTGACCACAAACAGACTTTAAAGGAATTGAAATCTTACCAGCGTTCTTATGATAACTATGAAAATAAATTAATTCCAGCTGTAAGTTTAAAAAGTGAAAGTGCACGTGCTTTTATAAGCACACATACATAACATAATACATATTTCACAATATAGTTTCAACTTTTCCATACTTGCTTTACACTTTTGAAACTAGTTGTAAGTTTTTCAGTCACTATATTAGAAATTCGAATATCTTTTAAATTACCAAAGTTCAACTAATATGTATTTTCTTTGTCACTTTCATTACATCTTTATAAAAATTTTAGTTTTAATTTCAACTTATGATACTGCACGGATGGGAGAAAATATCCAAATAAACAATATATGTACATATATATTTTACATTTGAATATAAACCAAATCGAATATTCCAGACATTCGCCGACTAATACCGGCACATATTATGTAATGCTTATAAGATATTTTACTTACGTTGTTTTGTTTTCTCTGTCGTAAATGTAAGTCTTTATCAAGAAATCTTAAATGCCAATTTCAGCACACTAAAACGTGCAAAACACAAAACTCAATAAATGCTTTAAAATTCAAGGCAACCAGAAAATCTGAGCATACCACGTTCCAACGAAAAGTAATATGAATGGAGTAAAGTTTTTTAGAGATACCACACTTTTTATATACCAATAATCGATTTTAACCCTCTCGCATAACATAAAAAATCGAGATTTATAATTACTAGGAGCTTATACGATAAAATTTTGTCAATTCTAACCACCGTTGCCGTACTGGTCCAAGCATTGTAGTTTCATCAGAGAACGTATATCATAGAGAAGGTTCAATTGCGGACTAGCGTGTGAATTGTCAAAACCTAACAAAATTTTAATAGTGGATTTCACCACTTTTGGCTCGGAAGGAGAGATTTTAACAGTGGAGAGTGACAGAGCTGAGCATTGTATGAAAATTATGCTCAGAGACTTGCCTTGATATTACAGCTGCATGTTACCCTTTTGGCTTATATTCTTATACGTTTATATGCAATCATATTTATTGATATGAATATCATTTTGCGAATTTTTATGAATGCATGCAAAACTGATAAGATCTATGAAATCATGGAATTTCGAAATAATATTTATAGTCAATTTGGGCATTTAATAATTTTATTTAGTTATTACTAAATAATAGAGATTAAATTTATTACAATATATGTATGTATATACATCTTTTATCATATTAATCTTATATAGTCATATGTATGTACGTATGTATTTGAATGTACGCATTCAGAAATTCAAATCATGATTTTATCACTTATCAATACACAATACACAATATGTACGCGCATTGATTTATATGTACACGCATATATGTATGTATACATAAAATTTGCCGAACAAATAATGCATACGCAAACCAACATACATACATATGTATATGCGTACACATGTGAATATGTCACCCGCAAAAACTACAAACATTGTTCTACAAAAACAACAATCGTCACAAGTCAATATGTCAGCCAAATAGGCGAAGCCCAAATTTATAGTAAATCACATAACAACAACATTTTCATTCATGAACGCAGGCGTACTTTCAACAAGCAACCTCGCTTCATTCACAAAAACAGACACCCTCTCATCTCCCCGAGCATGCGTTTGCCAACAAGCTTCTTTTCGACGATGGCAAAAGCTAAAAATCATAAATTGAGGAAATTTCTGATATTCCTTCTGGAAGGGAAAAGTTGCAACCACGCAAGCCCACAAAACACAGAAAAAATTGACAAAACTGGCAACAATGCTTTTTTTTCCGTGTCTCACAAAAATCTGCGTCAATATGTATGCATGCTCATATATAAACATACATATTATTATTACGATGATTTGTGGGCAAAGCTGTTAGAGCGGCAAGGGAAGCGGTGACAATCGGCGGCCGTTCGTTAATATTTTTTCGGCACAGCTCGGATTTTCTACCAACAACACAATGTTGTGACGCTTTGTCGTCGCGTCAGTCCTTCGACACAGTGACTCTTTGACAAGAAAACAAAAAACGTGAGCTTCGGCCATGGGTTGTCAGTGGCAACGGAGATTTCGCATGAAACAATGAGTGTACATATTTACATACATACGTTGCATATAGATAAATTAACAATTATAATGGGTTCTTTCATATTTGTTTACATGCAAACATAATTATACATATATATTTGAATAAAAATATTTGGGACCGCTTCGTCTTTTCTTATCGGGTTATGTCAAGCAAGAGGTGTACAAAATCAAACCCAGAAATTTGACTGAACTGAAGCAGTCCATTAAATAGTAAGATAATGCAATACCGAAATAGGTTTCGCATATGCGTGGTTGAGCATGGAGGAATAATTAATTGTTTAAATAAAATAAAATTTTCTATACAATAAAAAAAAAATGTATGTAATGCATTGACTAAAAAGAAACTTATTACGGTTAATTTTTGTAGCACGATTCGTGAGCCGCCCTGTATATGCAGAATATCTTAAAATTATATGCAAAGTCGTTTGCGTATTGTAAATATACGAATCTGTAAGCGTACATTTCTTAACATTGCATTTAGCATTATTTTTCTCATTTAACATTCAAAATGCTCAATTCTGCTATTTTGCAGGGGTAAAATTCTGGTGAAATCCGCTTATAATTTGTTTGAGGTGAGATCCTCTTAAGTTGGCGAGTAACCCTCCGTCAAGAGGAACATTTTGACAATCGGCACATCATGAACTCTCTATGATATACGTTCTCTGGTTTCATTTACCCTTGGTAGATTGGTTGGTATGCAAAAGGTTTTGGTATGCAATATTTTTTTTATCAGATGTATTTAGAATGAAAGTTAATCTTAGATTTGTTCGCTTAAAAAAGAGTACTAAAGTAAATTGCTTGTAATTTATTCTAACTAAAAAATAGTCATGAATGGCAACCATGTGTTCAAGGTGAGGAAAATGTAAGATCTAGCGATAATTACAACCGTGAAGTCAAAATGGAAAGCGTAAACAATTTAATATTTGCGCGCATTTCTTCTACAACTACTACAACAACAACATATCGACGCCAGGTAAATGAATATACATAAAATGTTTGAGACTTGTCAAATTTAAAATTGACAATTCTTTGTAGTGATGAAAGCTCGCCTGGACCTTCAAAGCGAAAATTTCGTAGGGAGTGGTTAAAAAATTAGAAAAGAAAAGGTGTGCATTAAGTGACGCTAAACTTTAATATACATTTGTTATGTATGTATGTACATATTTTTCCAAATGTGAAGTGAAATAAAAGCCAATGTTTTGATGATAAAAATTTTGGTAGTTTTGCAACAAATTTGATAGGCACTTGGTACCCAAAGATTTTTTCAAGTGGCAACACTGATTCTAACTAATATACTGTGGCGAACACTAATACCAGAACAAATCAGAATCAACGATAAATTTCCAGAAGCAACTAGACAGCGAATTCGTAGTTGCCGGAATGTTCTAGAGGCGAAGTTTTGTTAAAGATCTACTATATAAGGTCTGCCAGATTATGCAGCAGACACAGTTCTAATTAGAGTGCTGACATGTAAAGAGCAATTAAGCTACTAGCAAAAAGTTATAAACTCGAATAGCGAGCAAAAAGTGTTTAGTTGTTGGAATTAAAGTAAATAGGGACTTTAATTTAACAATCCAGTGATCGAACTCAAGTGTGAGTTACAATGTAGACGATTTATCGAGAAATCCGTTACAATTGGTGTCAGAGGTGGTCAAGATTAATGTTGACGAATATGTGTTTCAACTGGAATTTGAAGAAGATCCAATGAAGATAGAAGAAAATGGACAAGAACATGATTTTCGCTGCAATATTGCAAATGTCAACGAAAATAGCGACACAGTGGAACAAGCAGGATGCACGTATATCGTAGATGTCAACGCAAATAGCAGAGGTGTTATCACAAATGTTCGCACAACAATCCCAATTGTCCTCGTTAGGACCGCGGTTGTTAATGCAGGTAAAAAAGGAGTTTACAGCGCACGATGCACTTATATCAGCACAGGTATTCTCACAAATAGCAGAAGTGTGAAATGGATGAACGGAAAGATCGTCCCCCCGAGCGACAATTAAATCGGCCAATTATGTGAACAGCTTCTGCCAAGGTAATGCCTCCATCCTTTGATCACACTGTTTCGTTCCATGTTTTTAAACTTCAATTCGAAAAGACGGGATCTTTAAATAATTGGAACGCTGAAGATTAAGTGGCTGCATTGTTCGTTGCATTAAAAGGATCTGCAGAGGAGCGGTATGGTAGTGAGCGTTGAGAAATATCCGACAGAGAGCCAATGAGTCTCTACAAGAGTTTTCTACAGAGATTGAGAGGTAAGTTCCCTTAGCTTATGCACATAAATCCGTGAAATACATCGAGGACACGAAAATCCAGACCTTCGTCAATGGAATACGAGATAACACTACACGCTTCGTTGCGTTTTGTATGCTCTAACACAGGATGGCATCTCTGCTTAGCAATCAAACGTTTAAAGCTCATAAAGTAGAAATAGAAAAACACACTTGGGTGAACATATTACTTGAAAAAATTTACAACATGCAGAAAGCACTGGAAAAATGTACAGAAGCGCGTAAGAACTATGATTGTGTGGTTGAATGCTTCAACTGCGGAAAAAGTGGCCACATGCACGCAACTGTAACCAGTCCAACAATCTAGTTGGACTCCAACGCAAAGCTGAGGAAGATCAAGCAAATGTTAAATCCAACCAATCGTTAAACTATAGCGAATCAGCCGAAAGGGTACGGGCTGGCGCTCGTAAGCAAATGCCTTGTAATCTCCATTTCACAAATAAGCAGGAATACGAGTAACGTTAACGTTAGTGAATGTGTAAACGGCAAAAAGCTATACTAACTTTGGATAAATTATGTGTGCAACTGAAGAAGATACCCAAATTCTCGAAAAAGTAACGAACGAGATCGTAATTGGAAAGGCAGCCGTGTTAAATTTTATAGTAGCAGATATCGTCGACGAAGTGATAATTGGAGTAGGAATCAAAGTGGACATGGAGAATAGGACTATGACCTACACAAATATGTAAGTGCCACTTATGTTCGTTTACGATAATAAGTACAACGTGAGAAGAGTGATAACAATAGAGAGCCAGCAGATTCCATCAAAATCAGAAGCAGTTATTTTGGCAGAAATAGATGGAGACTATGGGCCAAACAAGTTTTGGATTGATGAGGCCACAAAAGAATCTAAACTAAACTTACTTATAGGAAAAACCCTGGCTATAACAAGACAAGGTAAACGTGTTCCACTAAAAGTACTTCATGAGTGAAAATTACCAATTAAACTCTCCAAAGGAGCTGTACTAGGGCAGTGTCAAGAGATTGAGGTCGTGATAAATTGCGAAATAGGTCTTGAGAAAGATTTCGTGGACGAAAACGACACATCGAGCAAAATAAACGCATGGACCGAGGAACTATAGGCAAATCATCAAAATATGGCTAAACAACTTCTTCTCAGATACTCATCCATAATTGATAAAGTCGATGCTAAACCAGGAAGAATCAAAGTTGTGAAACATTTTATTAACACAGGTGATGCAAGACCGATCCGCCAGGCTCCTCGAAGCGTTCCTTTAGCAAAACGTGAAGTTGTAAGCCACACCATACGTGAAATTAGCGAAAGCTGAGTAATTGATTCAACAGAGAGTCCATGGAGCTCACCTGTTGTACTTGTGAAGAAGAAAGATGGCAATAAAAGATTCTGTGTGGCCTATAGAAGGTTGAATGATGAAACAAAGAAAGACAGTTATCCACTACCTTGAATCGATGAAACGTGGACTCGTTAA